AGCCAGGGGGCGTGTTGTTTACCATCGGTGATTGGCCGCCGATCGCGGCCGGGTCTGCTCTGATTGGCCAAACGAGTTCTGCCTCCGCCCCGCCCACTGCTCCGGGCCCTGGCAACCGTGACGGGCCCGTGCGCGCGCGCCCTGAGGCGATGGCGGAGAGGGGGGACGGAAGCGGCGGACACCCTCAATCCCACAGCGCTCCCGTGTCCCCGCACCTCCTGTCCCACAGCGCTCCCGTGTCCCCACACCTCCTGTCGCTCGGTGCTCCCGTGTCCCTACACCCTTCCCGTGTCCTCAAACCGCCTGTCCCTCGGCGCTCCCGTGTCCCGATATAGGGTAAAGATGAACGCTGACCTGACTGGAGCAGCCTGAGGATGCACAGCCCCCGCGGGGTCAAACCCTCTGTGGGACCCTCCTGATGCTATTCCTTGAGGGTTCCAAACACCCGTCTGGATTTAGAACCCCTCTGTGTCCTCCTTCAGACCAAGAGATTTCTGGGAAGCCCAATGTTGGCAGTGGTTTTGGGATGTGCACTTCCAAGCTTCCCTTCCCGTGGAATGAATGCAAGGCCCAGTGGGTCAGGAAGGAGGTGGTGGATCAACCCCCTAAGTCAAAGTCTGCATCAGAAGGCTTCTCAGCTTAATGGAGGCCTCGGGACCAGATAAAACAAAATAAATCATTGCTTGGAGGATTTGTGGGGCTCTTCCAATGTGCTCGTGGACAAACACGAAGGGATAAACGTCCCAGGACAAATGCAAACTGCAGCGGTCAGATGTGTGTACACACTGGAGACAAAAATCTCGGGAGGGGACTTGTAAGATTAGTGCCTGGTTTGATCTGTTGAGGTTCCGCAGCTCCAATAAACAGAAAATGTTTATCAAATGTCACAGGCTGGAAAAGCAAATCCGCCTTCTCCACCGAGCCATCATCAGTGCTGAGCTCTGCCAAGCTCTATTTCGAGGCACAGTCCCTGTCTGCAATGCCAGTGATGACGGCCAACACTTTCCTCAAGTTTATTTTGATGCCAAGGACTCGGAGATTGCCATAAACACGCACGACTTTTCCCCAGGGTATTCCTGACGTGGGCCGGAGCTCCCAGCATATACACCTGAGTGTCCCTCCTATCCCACAGTGAACGAGCTGGCATGCTGAGTGATTTCTGGGGAGGATAAAAGCTGTTTCAGGCATGGATCTGCTCCAGTTTGAACAACTGCTGTTAATGGAACCGACCTCCAGCCAGCTCCGTGCAGTGACATCATTCAGGTAATGTTTACGGGATGAGTCTCTCAGCTCCAGTCTCTGGTATTCAAATCCTCTCAGTGGTTGCTCCCTTCTTTTCTTCCCCGCATTCCGAAGTGTGTCTTGCCATCACAGATCTGGAGTGTGGATATTGTTCCTCCTCCAGGTGCTGTAGGAAAGCACAGAGTGGAACACATGTTCCAGTTTACCTAAAAGAACAAAAAAGGTTCGTTTTGTAAGCACAGAGCATGACAGCTCCAAAAGCATCAATCCAGATACCTGCTTGAACACATACATGCTTTTCCCTTTACTAATTTAAACCTAATGGAACACTCTGAAAAATTATCCTTCATATCTCGTGTGGCCTGAGGGGAGGAATCTCTTATCAGAGTGGCTCCCTTCCCAGGTTAGGAGAGAGGGATCCCTGCCCCATCTTTGTTCCTCAGTATTAACTCACTTGTTGAAAACTGCTCAGTAGGATCAAGAAAAAAAGCAAAACAACCAACCCTCAAGGATCCTTAATATAAGTGATGGACTGTAGCTTTGGGATTAAAACCAGGGAAAATGAGTCCGCTCCCTGTGCTGTCTGGACCTGGCAGAACAATGGAGCGTTGTGGGCAGAGGAGGAGTCACGGTGAGGTCAGCGGACAAAATCTGCTGTTGTTCTCTATTTTTTTTTCCCTTATGCAAGGAATAATTTTCTTTCAATGTGGCACTTATTTGGGATTCGGGGAAGTGTGAATGCGGGGGGAGAATGAGAAGCGTTTCCCGCATTCTGAGGAAACACAGCTCACCTCTTCTGTAACGTGCTGTGTTTTACAGAGCAGCAATTCCTTCCTGACACTCTTTGGGGGGGACCCAAAGATGCACATCCTATTAAAGGGGGATTATTTAAACCAGCCTTGCTAAACCATCTTCCAATATGGCCTGGCAAAACTTGTCCAGGCATGCCCAAAGGCTCGGGAATGGCTCTGGATGGCTAAGAGCTGTGTACTGAACCGGCAGGGGATGACACAGAGGTGTTGATTGGGCCCTGTGGCATGTGGATTTCCACACGGAAATAGGATTACAAACCATGGTGATTAAGGGACACAGAGTAATTAACGCTCCAGACACAAGCATTGTCTGCCCACTCTGGACACTCATGGAAGAAAAACAGGGGTCACTTGGAACAACAGCTCCCTTGAACCACTTAGCCAAAGAGCTCCACACGTTTTACAGCTGCTAATTAATCCGAGTGCCCCGCTGCTGGCCTGTTATTCAGGTATGGAGGACAGCAGCAGCGCTGACACCTGGAAGGCAGAAATCACAGAGGGGTATTTTTATACAAAATACACATATTAGAAAACACAAACCAAGGCTCCAAATATCAAGGCTCCATGTGTACACACACTGAGAAACAATTTACATATTCTGTTGCTTCAAGACCATGCCTTGGGGATAAAAGCTATCAAAAGCTTTCCTTGGGCTTCCCCTCACCAGGCCCTTGGGGAGGGAACGAATCTAGGAGATGAAATGATTCATAAACCTGTCAGAGTTTAAACCTTGCTCCCCAGACAGCAGCCGCTGAAGGGAAGTGGCATTTGATCCTCCAGTAGCCATGGGAGCAATGTTCCCACTGGTCCAGCTCCTGTCTGCCCAGAGGAGTGTAATTACACACCTCTCACCTGGTGCTCCTGGAAATGGAGTTCAGCATTCACAGACAAATGAATTTATTCAGAATTATCACCTGCTGCCTGTGAGACCAAAGGAGAGCAGGGCATGCTGATAAGTGTAAATGGAGGTTGGTATGAGGGAAGAGATTCACTGGACAAACCCAGAGAGGAGCAGTGACCGTGCATCTCCCCCAGACCACACCCCGAGTTCCAAACAGCTGCTGGGATAAGCAAGGCAGGGGGCAGAAAAGAGAAACCCAGAGCTTTTGCTTGGGAAACTCAGAGCAGAAAGTATTTTGAGCTGACATGACCCAAACACAAATCAACAGAAACTTAGTAAGTTTAGGACAGAATCTCTGTTTTAATTTAAATAAATCTGCCATGTACTGATAGCACATACTTTGCTTACTGAAAATAAAAGCTGCCTTATGTATACAAGAACCCCTGTACCAGCAGAGCTGTACCACAATCCTGAGACAAGACTCCCAAGATGAGTTTACTAAAAAAGGGAAGTCCAAAAATCTACTGGGAAACAGTTTCTTGCTTAGACAATGTTCTTATTCCCAGTAGCTGGCATAAAACTTGTGAAGCACAGCTAAAAATTAAATGGCATGCAGTGCTAAAACCCCGATTCTTGAAGGAAATTCCAAGTCTTCACTGAGAATTTTCACTGACACAAAGGGATCCTGTTCCAGAAATAACACCAGGGACAGGCCCCTGCCTATTATTTCACGTCTCTGAGCGAGCCCATGTGTACCACGTTGGGGACCACGGAATTCCATGATCCCTGATGCTGACAGAGCAGAAGGAAAAGGCTGCAGAATGAGCTGGCTCTGTGCTGAACCCAATGTTCTGCCTGTGTTGTCATGGAGGCCTCTCTCCACACACAGAGCTGGAAAGATCTAGAGAGCACTCAGGAGCAAACAGCAAGAGTCCAGTGCAACCTATTTTTTTTAGTCTGATCAAATCTCATTTTGGAGGGTTTGGAAATGGATCTGGCAGCAGAAGAGGAAGGAGGAGCCTTGCCCCCAGCGCAAACCCTCGCTTAAAGACAGCACTGAGGAAGGCACTCCCAGTGACTTCACCAGGGCCACGGCAAGAATATCTGCAGTTTTATTGCTGGTGGGTTTTAGCTGCCCCACCTCAATCAAACTCCACTCTCTGGTCACTGAGGAAAAGGAAGGAAGCAGCAAAGACCCCAAATCTGTGAGAAATGTCACAACTTGCCGGGTGACTACAATTATTCATGATTTCTGTGGGGGGTGAATACAGGTACCCTTTGTTTTAGTCCTCAGCGGTTCCCACTCCAGCTGCTGTCAGAAATCCTGCATCTTCAGGCCTAATAAAATACAACTCCCTGCCTCTTTTAGCCCATCACTCCAGATGCACATACCCACCTTGTGCAGGCAGCACTCCAACAGCAGCCCCAGCTCCGTTCCCACTGCGGCACAGGGAACCTTCCAGAGCCAAGAGAAAGACATCAAATGGCAATAATTTGCCTTCAGTGCATGTTAAATTGTCTGAAAGGCAGCTGTGTGTTTCAATAGCCTCGTGCTTGTCGAAGCATGACCACAGAACCTGCAGTTTGCTCATAGACCTCCTTTAATAACCATTTGTTAGTGGAAGGTGCATTTAATTCACTATATATTTTTGTCACTCACTTTAAGTGGGTTCTTTTATTTAATTGACAGGATAATTCTAGGCAGTGTTGAACTTAAGGCTTTGGAAAGATTTGTTGGTTTTTTGGGGTTTTTTTTTTTAGAAAGGTGGTTGTGCATAATTTCAGGAGGCGTTTTCAAAATCACAGGGATTCTGCATAAATGGAATTTAAATTAGTCATTAAAAGTTAAACCAAGAAAAAGAAAAAAAAGAAAGGCAGTCACCTTCCTGCCTGTAGAACTAGGCAACTGCTGAGTGAAATGATTTGCAAGGAAGCATTTAGCTACAAGGACTGGATACTGTAATTTCTTGTTTATGATTTTCCACTTATTTTCCCATTTAACATTCCATTTCCCATAAAAGATGAGAAGTCTCTTAACCATCTAACAAAGTGCTCCTGTCTCAGGCTGTCTCAAATTCTTCTATTCTTCTTTTGCTACAACTGAAATCTTGGGACAGCGTCTTCTATACTTTCCATAGGTATAATCGCTAATTATGAGACGGCGTCAGCTGGTGTATTCTTCTCTTAATCAAACAATTCAGACTATCACAGATAAAGGTTTTTCCCAACTGTAAATGAGAACAGTTTCAGCCTAGTGGATTGGTTATTCCCACTGAAATAACTGGCAGCTGGAATTCTGGAAGTCTTGTGGAATCTGCTGTCCTTATCCCCGTGCCAGTAAGGAATATCCCATATCCCCCCTTGCTGTCCAAATGACAACCTTTAGTCATTTCACATCCACTGGCGCATAGTGGCCTGCTCTTATTCCCCAATAATTCATACCTCTGTTTCACAAGACAAAGTGCTCCGTGAAGGGTGAATGGAGATGCACGAATTTCCACGCCCAGCACCACAGATGTTTCCCAAGGAACAGCTGCAGGAACATTTCCAGCATAGTTCTGTCTTAAGATACAGCATCCAGGCACGTTTCACTCACACGCTCTTGCTGCTTGCCAGAGGAAATAATTCAGATAGACTTTCTCAGATGCACTGGCAGGGAATGTGAGCCTGATCCACAAAGAAAAGGGCAAATTATCCATTGGAAAAGGCACACCTACAAACATCACAGCAGAGAAAATAAAGGAATTCATTATGTTTTGGAAAGGGAGAGATGGAAGAACACCTGTATTCCATGACACCACTCTGTCAACACTAAAAAGGTAAAAGTGGGAAAGCTGCTGAGGAGGAGGCACATTCACACCCCTGTTGGTGTTCTTGCATGTTGTGACACGCTTTTCCAACTAAAAATCTATTTTCTAGGAAGAAGGATGGATTTACTGGTGGGATCCCCAGGGTGAAGGGGACAGTCTGAAGATATTACTGTCACCAAGTTAAATGAAATAGAGCTGGAGCAGAGCACGTTCCAAATAGCAAAGCACATGGCAGAAAATAGCAGCTCTGGTTGAGAAAATTACATTATGGGGCTGTTTATTTAGTAAAACTAAATCAGGTAAAAAGGTTAATTTAGTGTCTGCAGTTTCCCTCTCAGAATTAATCACTGAGTGAGGTGAAAGAGGTGCTTCATTTGCTAAATGTGAGCACATATTTCACTGTTCTGGATGAAAGCAGAACTGTGTCTTGGTGTTTTGAGAAGCTCCATGCTGGGAACAGATAGGAAGAGAATCTTGTGCAGCTCAAAGAGAAGAGTTTGTTTTCCTAGTAAATAATTTAAATTCCTGCTGTTAGGAAGAGCAGGGTGGGAACAGCTACACAAAGTCCTGTGAGGCCGTGGAGATGTTCCACTCGAGCTGACACTCCTGTCATTCCACTGAGGATGGTTTCTAAAGTCAGCAGCCTTCTTTAACAGCTGCACTGGAAAGCTATGTTTAAGCTCGAAGAAATGAAGGAGACTGCATCTAGTTTCCTTTTTTCCTTTGCCACATTCTTCAGGAATACTGGGTTATTTTTTTTTTTAAATTTTTTTTTTTTTCAAAGGGCAGCTAATTATTGCCTGTAGGAACAAGCAGAGCTGATGTACTCATAAGGTGGAACAGCCTAATAATTTGTATATACTGATTTCCACATTCCTTACTGGGAAAATCAGCATCCCATTGATTGATTCAACACACAAAAAAAAGGGTAAGGTTTTTCTAAAGCTACTTGTGATTTTGTATAGTTGAGTTTTCACAGAGATGAGACAGTTCAGTGTTCAAACCCATTTCATTCCTCTGGGACAACTCCTTTGTGTTGGTAATTTTTCCTTGACAAGCACTTACTCCCTGGAAGCTGAGCAGAGCCTTGTTAAGTAATTTCACCATAAAACATGTTTTTAGGGTTCTCCTTGTTTCCTTCTGCTGCTTTCCCCAACATCCCACATTTGCAAACCACCCCTCTCACAAAGGAAACGGAGTTTAACTTTCTTCTCAGCTTCTGGGAAACCGAGAAATCCTCAGAGTCTGTTTCCCTTGTTTCTATTTTTTTTTTTTAAGTTTTGGTTTTTAAACCAACACCATCTCCTCTAGGCTGATCAAAGCTGGCTTGCTACTTGAAGGATCACAGGTTAGCAACGAGTTAGATAAGTTATGTAAAGGCAGGAGTCAAAGCACAAACACAGTGATAACTATAGGGATAACTGGACTTGCTCTCTCACAGGGGGAGCTTGACCAGCTGGACCCAAAACAGTAGCTATTTGTATTTTTAGCTCGCATGTTTCCAGCCCCTTGGGATATTCAAATGCTTTACAAACCATTTTAATGTCGCCTCACAACCTGCCTGACACGAAGGTGAAGCTACCCTTGCTCTGAGGCTGCCAGTGTGCACGCAGATTTGAACTCACGAGCTCTGCGTGCCCGCGCTGACCTTTGAGTGCGCCTGAGTTGGGTGGGTATGACAATTCCCATTAACCTTTGAATCCCTGGCTTTAACTGACTGCTCAAAAGACACGCAGGGAGCAGCACCCAGGTCTCCAGAGCACCAGAGAGCCAAAGGCACCAGACCATCTGGTTGTTCCTCTGAAGGGTTTTTAAACGCCGATAGAAATGGCTGCTGTAAGGACACACCGAGCCATAGAATCCTTTGGGTTGGCAGGGACCTTGAAGATCATTCCAGTTCAACCCCCAGCCACAGGCAGGGACACCTTCCACTATCCCAGGCTGCTCCAGGCCCTGTCCAGCCTGGCCTTGGACACTTCCAGGGATCCAGGGGCAGCCACAGCTTCTCTGTGCCAGGGCTTGCCCACCCTCACAGGGAATGATTTCTTCTAAAATCCCATCAAACCCTTTCCTTTCTTGTCAGCACGAAGGCCTGCTGCCTCTTTCCATCTCTCCCTGCAAAACAGGCCCAAACACATGGAGCTCATGCTGGCTGCTTCCATCTCCTTCCCACTAAATCCCTAGGTTGCGGTCACTGCCACAAACTACCACAAACTACCACTGGGATTTTGGAAAACTGCCAAAGCTTAGAGACTTCTTAAACACTGACTCATAGGCAACGAGACTAGGGAAAGGGTTAAAAAAAGCTCGAGATTGATGAATTTTTAGCAAACTGATTCAGAGTTAATTTGCTGGAAAATGAATAGGAAAAAAAAAAAAAAATCTATGTTCTCTCTCGATGATTTATGTCACTGTGCTTATTATCTCCGGAGGAAACCCTCCTTTGTGTGCTGTCTGAACAGCCAATAACTACAGATACTGGAAGGAGTTTAAAGAAAACAATTTGCCTTTGCTCTGAACTTCTTGCTTTTATCTCCTCATTTCAACCTCTGGTGGTGTGGCAAGATTCTGACACTCATCACCGTGCCAGGATTTGCATGCCAACTATTTATTATTTTCCTGGTCTTTGCTGCACAGTATTGTAACACAGCCCCAGATCCATGAAAAAAAAAAAAAAAAAAAAATCGAAAAAAAAAGGCTTAGGTCACAAAAGAATTTAAACACAAGCTTTCTCAAGGAATAAACGGCGCTGTGAGACAACAGCTCAGCTTCCATAGCACTTCAGGCATCTTGTGCTGTCACTGGGAATGCCAGGCACAGCCTGGAAACAAAGAAAAGGACAGTGCTACAGGCCTTTGTGCCGGGGGAAGGCCTAAGGAAGTAAATAAAGTCCAGGGCAAATCCCTGTTTACATTTTGCAGGGCAGTAAATAAGGGGATCACCAGGGATAACACAGGGCGCTTTGCTCCAGCACACGCAGGCTGGGAGACACAGGATGCGCACGGAATAGGCGAGACCGCGACGCCTTACCGAGGATCGGCGCAACTCGGGGCTTATTTACAATTAATTTACAATTATCTTACAATTAAACACCTTTTCCCATGGCTTCACGAGCGTTCGCCGCTCTAAACACCGGCCCTGCCCGGAGCGCCCCCCCCCGCGCCCTCACGGAGCCGCGCACGCGCTGCAGATTCCTCCGCGTGATCGACACTTTCCCGCGATGCTTCCGCCAGAGAAAAGAGTCCCCGTTCTCCCCCGACC